TCACTGAATCAATCCACCTCATAGAGGGTCTACCCCTCCTGCACTGTCCCTCCACTCTACCCAGCATGATGTCCATCTCTAAAGACCTGTCTCTCCTTACAACATGTCCAAAGTATGTCAGACGAAGCCCCAGAATCCTTGCCTCCAAGTTTAATCCTCTCTAAGATGAATCTGTTTGTTTTCTTGGCAGTCCATGGTACGTTCAATATTCTTCTCCAGCACCACAGCTCAAAGGCGTCAATTCTCCTTCGATCCTCCCTAGTCATTTTCCAACTCTCTGATGCATAACAAGTGATTGCAAAAACCATGGCCTGTATCAGGTACACCTTAGTCTCTAGAGAGACACCGTTGCTCTTGAGTACTTTAGAGAGGTCCCTAACAGCAGATGTTCCCATCGCAATACGTTTTTTAATTTCCTGGCTGCTGGTGCCAAGAGTGCCAAGGAGTTGTAGTAACCCTTTATATTCATGTAGTTTTGAACTTTTTAATAATATTTTATTTCGTAATTTTTAATGAACATTTACAGAGAAGTTACTCATTCATTGTTGTACATTTTACCGCTCCCCCCGTTCATTCATATATATATATATTCATTGTTGCACAATTAGCTACCTACCTCCAGTCCTCTTTGCATTCTGGGCTACTGTCATATATATTATAATATTTATATATAGTTATACATTCCTTTTGGACAGTTCTTTCCTTCATTTATGTAGCTTGAACTTAATGAAGCACTTTTTAAAAAAATGTGTGTGTGTGTGCGCGCGCGTGCGTGCACCATCAAATTGGACTGACTGGTACAGGAGGAGATGGTCCCTCCAGCAGAGCATCTTGTAGCTTCGAACCACATACCTCTGGGATGGCATTGTAGCTTCTTGCCACTAGGCCACCAGAGCTCCCTTAATGAAGCACTTTTACATCTCTCTCTTTTAATTTGGTCTTCAGCAACCTTCAAAATAACAAAGATGAGATCCTAAAAAGGTTTAGTGGCACATGAGATCTTTGCAGAAGATCTGGAACCAGAACTCCTGGCCTAGTAGATTATTCTAGTCTCTAATACTGTTCATGCCTGCCTTTAAAATTGTATTTCTCTGAGTAAGTGAGTCCATTCTCCTAAATGTTAAGGGTTATACATTATTACTAGCAACTAGGAGGCTATACTCTTTTTTTGTAGAAAATGCCAACCCCTCTGTGATGTCACTAAAATTAGTCCACCTGGGTTGATTCCGAACTAGGCCACTAAATAGATTACCATGGCAGGTTACTTATTTCTTAGATCTTATATTACTTAACTGTAAAATGGAATTTGTTAATTTCTACTGAAGGTTACTGCAAAGATTAATACTTTTTTATCCCCATATTAAATAAGAATAGTTCCTGGCACAATAACTGCTAGCTATTTTTCAAGCATGTGCCAAAATAAAACAAATTTAAGTGATAGTGTTAGTTTGAAAGTAAGTATATTCATAGCACCTACTGGTGCTGGCTTTGAGACATAAAAGATATAGTAGTAAACTGATGGAAGCATTATTGCAAATTGTGTGAGATGAAGCTTGAATTCAGGTCTGGAGTTTTAAGTTCAGGTGCTGTCTAAATGACTAGCATCTCTAGATTTCACTTTTCTGACTTATAGAGTGTAATTGTGGTAAGGACTTAATTAAACATACCCATCATGAAATATTATTGACCATAATGATATCATCTTGTTTGGATAAACAATCAACACCCTTCATACCAGCAGTCAGGAAAATAGACATATTGCATTTGGGCAAGACTACTGTCGGGATCTCTCCAAAATGCTAAGAGCAGTGATGTCAGTTTGAAAATTAAAATGCACATTATTCAAGCATGGTCTTGTCATTTACCTGCTACATATTAGAGAGCTTGACATTGTATAAGTGTGACAGAAGAATTATTGATGTCTTTGAGTTGTGCTTGTAAAAAGTACTGAACGAATATCTCATGGACTGCTAAAAGAACAAATGGGTATGTCTTTGAGAAAGTACATCCAAAGTTCCCATGGGAGGCAAGGATAGTGAAGCTTCATCTCTCACATTTTGGACATGTAGCTAAGTGTACCATGCTTGGGACGATGGAGGGTCAGCAAAGGAGAGAAGATCATTTGACACAGTGACTGGAGCAATGACTACAGTAGTGGACTCTAGTGTGTCAGATGATGAGGAAAGCATAGGAGAGTGCAGGGCTCAGGTCTCTTGTTCTGAGGTCACTCTGAATTGCACTTAGCAGCAGCTCATAACAGCATCATAAACATTTGGTGTACCTATTACTAATACTATTTTCTAATTAAAACATACGGCTTTATGAAATAAAAATAAGGATTATCTTCAAGGCTTTTATCTGAATGATCAAATAGATTGATTTACCCAGAACAGTCCTGTTCATCTTATAACTATTATTAGTATCATTTTTCCACTCTCAGATGTATCCCAGTTTCCTTAATAAATTTCATGGACTCCATGCCTTTTACTCAGGTCTCATATCTTATAACTAATTTCATTGAATTTAAATTTTTTAAGTGAACAATAGCAAAAGATTGTATATGTCCTAAACTCAAGTTCCCTGCTATCATGCTGATTCCAATTCATAGTGACTCTATAGGACAGTGTGGAATTTCCCCATTAGGTTTCCAAAGCTGTCTATTTTTAGTGGGTTCACATTGCTAACCTTTTGATTGTAGATTTAATACTCAGCTGTCCACACTACCAAGATCCTATATATCCTACAGTCCCATCAGTTGGTCTTGTCCACAAAAACTTTGTGTTACATGTTAAGGTATGCTAGTGTGTTTATCAAATAGCAAGCAGAGAAAATGGCTTCTCCTCAGGGTGAAATATGGAAAGTAATGTATAAAAATGGGCTTAATTGGATATTCATTTCACAAATATATCTGTTGAGTGTATGGCATGTTATAGGGAAAAAGCAATATATAGCGTAAGTTTTAGATTTAAAATGCCATTTATCTTTTCAATTTCTGTGTAGTCGTTATGTGCCATCGATTTGCCTGTGACTCATAGCAACCCTATGTACAACAGCTCTGAACTCTGCTCTATCCTGAGCCAGTCACACTGTCCCTGACACACCTAATCACATTGCCCCAGTTACCATGTTAATCCATCTCATCTGGGGTCTTCTCTCCTGCACTATCCCTCCAGTATGATGTCCTTCTCCAAGAACTGGTCCCTCCATGCCATGTGCCCAAAGTATGTGAGACAAAAATCCAAAATTCTTGCCTTCAAGGAGCAGTCTGGCTTCACTAATTTTTTATATCCCTTTAGCATTTATTTTAGGGAATTTGGATGGTGTTAGTAAGCAGTGTTACGCTGCTAACACAAAGTTGATACTCTAAAGGGAGCTCTGGTGGCCTAGTGGCAAGAAACTGCACTGCAATACCAAAGGTATGCGGTTTAAATCCACCAGATGCTCTGCTGGAGAAGGAGGAACAGTCTCCTCCTGTACCATTCAGATCCACATTGACAGTACACACACACACACAAAAATAATAAAATAAATTTAAAAAAAGTAATATTTAAAAAAAAACACACACAAAGGAGTGGTTTGAATCTAACAGCTGTTCTATGAGAGAAAGATGGCCAGTCTTCATGAAATTTGCAGCCTCCTAAAAACCACTGGAAGGTCATCTATGAGTTGGTTCTGACTCCACAGCCTTGAATTTTTACAAGAGCTTGTCCTGGGCACTACTTATACTTCCCTTAGTGGCCTGCATTGGTTAATTGGTGTTATTAAATTGTGATTTAAGTGAAACTTTACATAGCAATTTGGTTTTTCATTACCTTTTTTTTCTTATTGTGTAACATTGAATCCTGTCCAACTGGCAGAGGAGAATGCCCCTCTCTCTCTAACGGAGCATCTGGTGGATTTGAACTACTGGCCTTTGGGATTACAGCGCAGCTTCTTGCCACTAGGCCAGCAGAGCTCCCTACCTGTCATTTGTTTTGAAGAGATGATACAACAATTAAAAAAAATTTTTTTTTGAGACTAATTTAAAAATCTATTAATTTATTTACATTTGACTTGGGAGTCAGTTTCTACTTTATTTAAAACAAGGGTTTATGATGAAGTGTAAAAGATAAAACTTAAACCTAGTTTCTGTAAATAAAACTTGTCACTAGAAAATGGCTCTTAACTAAAATTTTTTTATAATCACAGATAACATACTAAAATAATGCTGACCGTCATTCCTATCTAATACGTACTACTTTAAAGGACTTCATTAAATGATTAGAGGGTAGATGAAAATACTTAGGTGCAAACTTCGTTCTGAGTTACCTTTTCTCAAAGGAAAGGGAAAGTTTTTTATTTGGTTAGGAAAAGATGTTTTAACCTATTTGGGGATTCCCTTTCCTCTTTTAGGATTATATGCGTCAAGCAGGAGAAGTAACCTATGCAGATGCTCATAAGGGACGCAAAAATGAAGGAGTGATCGAATTTTTATCTTATTCTGATATGAAAAGAGCTTTAGAAAAGTTAGACGGAACTGAAGTGAATGGCAGAAAAATCCGGTTGGTTGAAGACAAGCCAGGTTCTAGGCGACGCCGGTCCTATTCCAGAAGTCGAAGTCATTCAAGGTACAAATGGTGCATTTATGTGTTGGAGCTTGCCATAATTCCTTACTAATCATAGAGATATAATTCCTGTATTGAATTTTCAGTAAGACAGTTCTGTCTGGTTCAATAAATAACTCAATACCTTGAACATTTGAACTTTAATGTCATGAGTACAAATAGAAATAAAGTCCTCTCTCTGTGGCAAGAGTCACTGGCAGCCTTTCACATCTGTTTTTGGGTCCCTGGATTAAACTCTGGTCTTTTGGTTACTTTGGTAGTACTCTAGCTGCTCAACAGTGGAGACTGGTTTTGCCTGTTTTGCTAATAAGCTAAGCACTCCACTTCCTAAATAGCATACCTCTGGAAATGTTATAAATCATTTTTCCTCTTTTTTTTTTAAATTGAGATTTTAATGAAAGTTTATAGTGAACTTGGGATTTCCAATCATTCCGTTTTGCACATTTTCCTCTCTGCATCTCTTCCCTCCCCACCCACCTTCGCTTTTCTCTTTGGGGGAAGAATTCTTTCATTGAAGTCCATTTTACTGTGCAGCTCTTATTCTGGACTCTTGTCATACCAATAATACTTAATCATATATTGCTTTTATACAGTTCTCTCCCTTGTCTGTTTCAGTGCTGTGTACATTATTTATTCCCTCTTTTTTTTTTTTTTAGATTCCCCCCAATCACCATATCAGTCCTGTTTTATAACAGTGACATTATGCGGTATTTGTCCTTTTGTGACTGAGATATTTCACTCAGCATAATGTCTTCCAGGATCACCCATTTTGTATAATGTTGCATGAGTTCCTTGTTTTTCAGTGCTGCATAATATTCCATTGAGTGAATATACCACAGCTTCTCTATCCATTCATTTGTTGATGGGCACTTAGGTTGTTTCCAACTTTTTGCTATTGTGAATAAAGCAACAATGAACATGGGTGTGCATATATCTGCTTAGGTGGTGGTTATGGTTTATTTAGGGTATATTTCCAGTAGTGGAATTGCTGGGTCAACTGATTTCGTTTTGCATCTTTTTGAGAAAGTGCCGTACAGCCTTCCATAGTGGTGGCACCATTTTACATTCCTACCAATAGTGAATAAGGGTTCCAGTTTCTCTACAACCTCTCCACCATTTGTTGTAAACTCTGTGAGCTTTGATAAATGAAAAATAGTTAATAGAAAAGCTTCAGGCCTTTTCTTCATAGGGTTGCTATGAGTCATGATCAACTCAACAGCAGTCAACATAAATACCATAAGTATGTTGTAAGAAATGTACATAGCACTATTAGCAGAGGCATCATTTAGGATGTATCATAAACTCCAATCACTAACGGGTAAATTGAAGATGATGGGCAAAAGAGGCTAAGTGCCTTTCAAGTAAAGAGAAGTTTGTTTTAGAAAGACTGAGGATCAGAGTTTCCCAGAGTGAAGGCTGGTGTAGGGAACAGTGGAGCTTGAGAACTTAAGAGAGTGAAAAGTTATTCGGTTTATACTGTTATGGATAAATACGTGCATCATTATAGAAAGCCATTTAATGTATGTTTAATCTTTTTAAGAACATTCACTTGCTCAATCAAAGCAGTTTTATTTTGCCAGTCTTGTTTTTTCATCTCTCTGGCTTTTCTGTTTTAAGGCAAGTCTAGACATCCTGTCATTCTACCTGTAAATACCTCAGTACCTGTCTCTTAAATTTTTAAAAATAAAACTGTAATGCTATTATCATACTTGGGGAAATTACCAATAGCTCCATAATGTCATTTAATACCAAAATTCTGTATTTGCCTCAGTGTATATTTTTTTCACTTGGTTTACTCATATCCCAACTAGATCTGATGTTGCAGTTTGATTATAGTCTTGTCGGTCTTCTCATGACCAGCCTGTCTCCTTTTATATTATCTTTTTGCTTTCTGTTCATTCAATTCTTAAAGAAAATGGGGTTATTTGTGTTGTCCACAGTTGGATTTTGTTGCTTGTCTTCTTGTGGTATTGTCACCTGTACCTTAGCTCTCATCCCCTTATAATAATAAACATGGAGTGAGAGACATTCGAGCAGGTCAGGGCTGTGACAGACCACTTCATGGGTTGTCCTGTATGCTTTCTCTTGCATCACTGTGTGGTGTCTGTTGGTCCTAGTTCTTTGCTGAAATTTTTTTTGTTGTTTTATTGGTTTGGGTTTTGTTTTTTAATAATATGATTTGAATAAAAGTTTACAAAGAAACTGGTTTTTCATTCACTCATTCATACACATTTTGTTTTGATACCCCCCCAAAAAGTATACAAATACTCCGTCCAGATTTTTAATTGCAATATACATAATGGCTTATCATCCATTAACACCTAAAATCCAGGCCATAGATTTCTCCAGTTGTTCAGAGATATCTTTTATCATTGGTTTTTGGTACGTTTTTTGTTTTGTGGGTTTGGTGTTTTGTTTTGGTGTTTTTTGCCTTCCCAGCATTCAGCCCAGTCAGGTGTTATAGTTGATTATGTGTCTTTAGTCTTAGATAGCTCCTCTGCTTTTCCCCAGCATGTTTTATTTCTTTAAATATTTGTTAAACTATCAAAAACTGGGTTTATATCACCTTTTGGTATTATTGAATTTGCATATTATCCCAAAACTTCCTGGAAATTTAGTCTGGAGAAATGTGACTAGGATGCATGATCCACATTTTTAGCAAGAATTCATTGGCTGTGGTGCTTAGGAATCTTTACAGGTTTTCCTCTTTCTATCATGAGATAGAAAGGCCCCTCTATTAAGGCCCTATATTAAGAATGAGTCATGTTTCCAAGGACCTCACAGTCTAGATTTCAGAAAAAGTGTTAAGCTTGGCTTAATAATAGCTCTCTGATACAGTGAGGTAAATGGGTAGGAAAAGGGCAACAATGTGTGTAGTCAGGAGACCTGTTGTAACAGGGAGAGGTGGGTAGGCAGAAAAGTGAAGAGGCAGTATCATCAGTATGTAAGAATGCAAGAAGGCAAGAATGACTGTGGTTTTGATTTGAGGAACAGTGGCATCAGGAGGCCAGGGAACTGGTGGGGGAGGGGGGGTTTGTGTGTGCGGGATTGAAGCTGCTGAGAGTGTTGAGTGAGCTGTTCATGCAGAATGTGTGCAGGTGCCTGGATCTGAGACTCACAACATCAGCACTTGGGACTTGGCACACACAGGTGTTGGTTACCGTTTTTTACTAGAGGGATGTCTTACTTGACCCTTATCAGCTAGCCTTTTGTCAACCAGTGTTAAAAATATACTATTTATACTATTTCTGTTTTCTTTCCCTAGATCTCGCTCTCGAAGCAGACATTCCCGTAAGAGCAGAAGCCGAAGTGGCAGCAGCAAAAGCAGTCATTCTAAGAGCAGATCTCGATCCAGGTCAGCCTCTTGGTAGAAGTGTGGGAGATGAGCAGGGATTGTCCAGACTGCTCCTCACTGATTTCAGTCATGTTGCCAGGTTCACTGCTTTTTTCACCCAAGTGTTTCTAGCTCTGGATTGGAATTGAGATTCAGAGAGTGGTCTTTGACCAGTAGAATCCTTACATAATAGGGTGGGACATGACTCCACATACGCCCCTTTGGTCTTTTCATTTCATCAGTATTGGAAATTGTGAAGGCACAACTGACTCAATCATCCTTCCCGTCCCCTCAGGTCACGGTCCCACTCCCAGAGCAAGAGCCGTAGCCGTAGCAAGAGCCGCAGCCGCGGCAAGAAGGAAAAAAGCAGGAGTCCCAGCAAGGATGATAAGAGCCGCAGTCGCAGCCGCAGCGCTGACAAAAGCCGTAGTAAGAGTAAAGACCAAACTGAAGAGAAGATCCAGAACAATGACAGCGTTGGGAAGTCCAAGAGTCAGAGCCCCAGTAGGCATAAAAGTAAGAGTAAAAGTAGGAGCAGGAGCCAAGAGAGGAGAGGGGAGGAGGAAAAGCGAGGGAGTGGGAGCAGAAGTAGAAGCAAAGAGAAGAGCAGGAGCCAGGAGAAGAACCTCAAGAGCAGGAGCCGGAGCCGGAGCAAAGGAGGCAGCCGGAGCCGGAGTCGCAGCAAAAGCAAGGACAAGAGGAAGGCAAGGAAGAGAAGCCGGGACGAGAGTCGCAG